AAAGAAGCCTTTGCCACTCTGAACAAATACAGTCCAGCTCCCCATCCACCACTAAACAATATCAGTGCTTGGCAGGGAACAGAGCTGGGACATGACTGTTTTATTTTATACAGCTATGAAGTAACAGAAAATCCTGCAAATTAATATAGTAGCCATTTGTCATTTTAAAACCTGTGTGGGCTTCTGGTTTAGAAATCAAACCAGCAGCTCTACAAATACTACTTTTGATGCAGCGTATGCTTTGTGCCTTCTATACCTTTTTGATAAATTGCTACTCAGAATCATTATCAGAAATGAGCCACTCCTGTTCTGTTAGGTGTGGAAAGTAAATACTAACTTGTCCTTTTGTTTATCTCATTGTGTTTTATGCTTCCATTTTTAAATAAAGATGTGGGCTAAAAGACAGTGTTTAGCATTTACTCAAAAGGAAGAAAGCGGTTGAATACTGATGTAAAAATGAAACCTGGCAGCAGCATTGAGGGCTCATTTCTTTTGCACCTCCTCTTTTTTTCCCTTCAGCTAACACAGAAGCAAATTTAGCATAAGAGAGTTGAATCTAATAAAGGGGTTAGAGCTGCCACTCATCAGGTAGGTGTAGCTGTTTCTAAGTAGTTCTTTATAGTTGGGACAGCAAGCTGGACTCTCTAGATGAGAGTCCAGTCTTTCAATAGCAAGAAAAACACTACAGGAGGAACCTGTGCAGATCACTATTGTGCAGTTAGTGCTTTTTGACCACTCAAAAATAGTTATCACTTTACATTTCTTATTTCTTGACCAGTAACTGTACACAAAGTGTGGCTTATTCTTGCAGTAACTGATTTCTGGTGTTCATTTGTGTTCTGGCTTAACTTTATATGTTTTAAACATATGTTTGCAGAAACATGTCTATCAACAAGCTTAGACACTGCCTAGTCAGAGGGCTTGGACAGGAAGAATAAAGCATTCAATTCTGGTGTGTTTTCCTGCAGCACAGCAGAGAAAATAAGCAGTATTATAGAGTAAACTAAGTACAAGGAAGAAGTCATATTACCTACTCCCACTCAGTTCAGGCTAAGCAACTCTATTAATGATCTCTTTTCCTGTCAGTGCACATCTTCCCTTATTACTCTAAAGGTAGCAAAATTGCCTGTAACAGGAAATTGAGGACAAAGTACTGATAATTATTAAAAAGTAAAGCCTTAATGTGAAAATTGTGTCTTTTAATAGTTATAGTTTATTCATCTTCATTATATCTTGTTAGCTTTTGCTGTTGTATGTTGGTTTTGGCTCAGATATGACAAGGAGGTTATAGAATCATGGAATTACAGAATGGTTTGTGTTGGAAGGGACCTTAAAGATCAGTTAGTTCCAACCTCCCTGCCTACGGCAGGGACACCTTCCACTAGAAGTGCAGGATAATAAATGATAACAGAGTAATACTAGAGGTTGAAACATTGCTTATAGTAAATGCTACTTCTTTTCTGCTCCTCCCACACTTTTCATCTTAATTGGCCTCCTCTGGGTAGCTGCTGTGCTGCAACCCTGCCCCTATGTCTGGAACAAGTCTCTATGCTATCATGCCATTGGTTTCTTCTTCTTTCAGCTGCCTTTTCTATTACTCATCAGTTATTATTAAGCAACTTTTCTTACCTTAATGGCTTTTTGAAACAAACAAATTCATTTCTGCAGTTTTAAGTTGCTTTGCCATTGTCTACTCCTTGCTAGAAGGGGTACCATCTGTCACCAGAAGGGACTTTTATTTCACCTGGTATTTGACATCAGCCCCCAAAAACGCATGTTGAAGCTTGCAAAAAGCTTTCCCTCCAAAACCTGAGATGCCCAAAGGCAGTATCTGCAACAGTGCCTTTAGAAACTCCACCTTCGTAAAAGTAGTGTTTTTCTTTTGAACCTACTTCAAGCAGCATTTCTATCATTCAAGTAATGATATAAATTATATATAAATTATATAATGATATAAATATCAAACTTTCCATTTGAATGGAAACAAATTTCATTCTCCATTTTAAAGAAATGGCAATGCAGTTACTAATTAAAACAAATAAGACAAAGTAGATGTAATACTAGTTTGTGCCTCGTACATTGATAATAAAACATCTTGTAAGACTCTTAGGTTGGGTAAGAGTTAGTTCAGCTTCACTTTAAGGATGCATTTTTTTATAATTCACACTAAACTTTGGATGTCTGTATACACCATTTCCATGGAAGAGTGACCTGAGGGGCTGCTGCATTCAAATCTGTCTTCACAACAGTCTGTAAGTCCTGCTCCTCTTCCTGATAATTAATAAATGTTACAAATATTTATTGTTCTAGTGCCTCAGATGAGCTCCAGTTGGCTGTGGTAATGCAGATGAAACAGTATGCAATTTGTCCAGCATCAGAATACATAAAGCTTTGGTGTGCTAATTTTTTATACCAGGTTATCTCTCTAGGGAGTCAGCTGAATTTTTAATTCCCTCAAACTTCTCCCTTCCCAGGCAACACGTTGATTCTGAAAACCCACCTGGAGTACTGTGTCCAGCTCTGGGGTCCTCAGCACAAGAAAGATGTGGACCTCTTAGAGCAAGTCCAGAGGAGACAATGAAGATGAGCAGAGAGCTGGAGTACCTTTGTTACGAAGAAAGGCTGAGAGATTTGGGGTTGTTCAGGCTGGAGAAGAGAAGGTTCCAGGGAAACCTTATTGTGGCCTCTCAGTGCTTAAAGGAGGCCTATGAGAAAGATGGTGACAGACTTTTCCATGGAGCCTGTTGCAATAGGAGAAGGGGTAATGGTTTTAAACTGAAAGAGGGTCGATTTAGATTAGATCTAAGAAAGAACAGTGAAGGTGGTAAAACAGTGGCAGAGAGGTGGTCGCTGCCCCATCCCTGGAATTGTTCAAGGCCAGGTTGGATGGGGCTCTGAGCAACCTGATTTAGTTGAAGATGTTCCTGCTCATTGCAGGGGGTTTGGACTAGATAACCTTTAAAGCTGCCATCCAACCCAAACTGTAATTTTTCTGACTGCAGTTTTGTCTCAAAGGAGGCATTAGGCAACATCCATAGTGATCTCAAATGCTGCTTTCCCATAGGAATCCTTTCATATTTATTGAACTAAGTATCCCAATGTCCTTTATACAATTCCCACTTTATGTACTTTGTCACCTCGAAGTCAGTGGTTAAGCACAGACACAGCCCAAGTCCATTTGCTTGGTGGGACGTGGCAGTTACATAACTATAGAGGAAAGGAACTGTGAGGTTCCTTGAGAAGTCATCTAGGTCAATGTTCAAGGCAGGATCAACTGTATTTACAGAACTGCTCACAGATATCTGTCAAACCTGTTCTTAGGGGCTTCCCTTCTCAATACTTAACTACTGTAATAAGTAACCTGATCTGTTTCTTCCTATGAGAAGAAACATGTTTATCTGGTTTATTGTTATCTTAATCCTCTCTACAATGGCCTTTATGAACCTGGAAACTGTTGTCTGATGCAAGCACTTGTGTTCAATCCAGAGAGACTGGAGATGTTGCCTACACAACAAAGTCACATTTAGAACTGCTCTATCACTATGATGTGTACTGAACAGATTAAAGGCTGTGTTTTGAGAGGCGTTAGAAAGTAATTCAAGCAGAAAATGTCAGATGAGAGACTTTTTAACAGAGGAGCCTGTTCTTGACCCAGGGCCGCTCTGTTATGCCAATTAATTATTTGGAATTATATGAAGCACTGCTCATGAAATCTGCAGACTACTTTAAAACAGCCAAAGGCCACCTAGGCTGGTGGCCACCAAGTGATTTAAATCACGGAGTCAGCAAGTGCCCCTTGAACAATATCTGTTTAATCCACCTACATGGCAAATATCTGTGCATCAAAGCTGAGGTTGCTGTCTGTGCGTAGGAACAAAAATACAAAGCATGCTTTTGGGCTGGCAGTGAGGAAGGGGAATGTTGCATCTTCAAAAGCAGTGAATCAGATGAGGGCTGAGGAGGTCATGAGGGGTAAATGCATGAATGCGAGCTGCCAGTCCAGTGTGGCAGCTGCACCAGCAAACTGCAAACATCAGGTGTCTAAACACAAATACCAACGAGCAGTATGTGCTAATATGTAACCATGACCATTGCATGGCACAATAACGTGACTGTTCCGGAACCACGATGAATGACAAAAGGTGTAACAAACTGGAAAGGCTCATTAAGAACCCAGAAGAATGAGTCAGTGGAAAAATCTGCTCTCTATGAAGGTGATAGGTAATTATCTACACGGCAAAAGCATAGAAAGGTGCTGTAATCGCCTATGCACAGCGAAATCTGCTCGCTGAGGAAAGAAAATGTCTAGTGTTTAAAAAGGATGGCATTTTTTCATGTTTTTCCTTCCTACAGGATTCTTTGATTTTTGGAAAGATAAAGCCCTGAAACCCTACATATTTCAGTACACTGAGCCTGGTGTGAGTCGAATTTAGATCCTTGTGCCATCCCCCTCCTCACTGGTTGCGGGTGCCCCAGTGGGACACACTTCCCATGGAAAAGCACCAAGGGTGCTGTCACCCACTCTCAGGTGGAAAAATCAGCTTAACCTGTGAGTCCTGCCTGTGCAGAACGACCAGAGGCCACAGCTTCCAGTCGAGATAGGACTGGGATACAGCCGGAAAACTAAGGAAAAGGTAACTTATGGAGCAGATAGGGAGACAGCGGTTGGGAATCGAGCGAGAAAAATGCAAGCAAGGATGGAGATAAATACCCTGTCAGTCGGGTCTTTAAGCAGCAGCTGTTTCTGTGTGCAGCAAAGGCACCGGCGGGCTCAGTGCCCACAGCGGCGCTTGGTGACCCTGGGCCAGACCCGGGGGCGCAGCATCCTGGGGCACAGCCACCCCTCAGTCGGGCTCCGGCCGCGTACTCCTCGCACCGGGAAGCGGAGGGAAAGGGGGGAAGGGGAGCGAAGGGCAGCGCCGACCGGGCGCCCAGCGGCGCCCTCAGCCCGTGCCCGGCGGCCCCGCTCCCGCCCCCGCTTCCTCCCCCGCCCCCGCCGCCATGTTGTGGGGCTGAGCCGCCGCGGGAGGCGGAGGAGCTGCAGCCCGAGCGGAGCCGCCGCTCTGGGGCAGCGCAACAGGTACCGGCGGGGCGGCCGCGGGCCCCGCGGAGCTGGGCGGGCGGAGGGGAGTGCGGGAGGCCGAGCTGCCGGGCGGGACAGGAGCGCTCCGGGGTTCTGCTGCCCCAAGCCGCTTTAGTTATGTTTGTTCCCCTTATTTGAGGCTGGTGGGGTTCGGGTTTGTTTGGGGTTTGTTGTGTTTTTTTTTTTTGGTTTTTTTTCCGTTTTTGTTTTGTTTGTTTTGTTTTGTTTTCTGGTGGGTTTGGACGGTAGCGGCGGTGGCTCCCGCTGCCAGCGCTGCTGCTCTCCTGTGCTCCATTACTGCTCTGCCAGCGGAGAAATCCCGGTGCCCGTGCCCAAACAGCTCCCGAGGTGAGGTGACTGAGGTGACTCGGACGTGTTTTTAGACCCCGGTTTGTTGCGGTGATGGTGGTTTTGGTGCCTTGTAGCTGCGGTGGAAACCCGGAGTTCGGAGAGATCGAACTGGTTTCTGCAGTTAAAGTTTGCGAAGTGTTTTGTCTGTAAATAGACTGGCTTTTCTTGGTCTCGACTTCTCTCCGCGGCATGTCGTAAATTCAGAAAATAAAATGTGGTTGAGGTACGTGATTCGGTTCCTTAAACATCAAGGTACCATTTTGAATACGGTAAATGGTTTTCACAGCAGCTGGGGCTTTGACATCTGTCACACTGCAGAACTCGAAAGTAGATCGTGCTTTAGATAGTGCCTGCGATCTTTAAGTTATTTTCTCAAGCGTTTCTCTTAAGCATCAGTTGGAAATTCCCCATCTAAAACACTGGAATGAGAAGTCACTTGCGCCCAGGCTGCCCTGTCCTGTGCATCGCTCTTTTGGGAACATGATGTTTTTTAAACTCCTTTTCTGTTCGTGCCGGCCTGTGGTGGCAGCAGCTCCCGCGCCGAACACGGGAAAACACAGAGCGTGTGAAGCAGTACGTGGTGTGGGTAACATCAGTGGTACATAAAATGCAGCTTGCTTTCAAGAGTTTTAAATTGTTCATCTGAAATTTGGTTGTCACGAGCATCTACATCTGCTGATGCGATGATGATGTTTAGAACTAATGAGCACTAGGAACTAAATGGATAAAGAGCCAGCTGGGCTTCATTCTTCTACCAAACCTGGTTCATTTTTGTTTCCTTGTTTCCTCTCTACCTCCCCTGTTTGGTTTCTTTGTATTTTTTTATTCTGACTGAGCTGGGAGGGGCGTTCACACCACCGTACCTCTGGGTATTTAGAGAAGTCCTGCTTCAGGCTCCGTGTGATGTGAAGAGAATTGCATGATCCCTGCAAACATGGATTTAGACTGCTGTGTGCTCTCTGTTGAACAGAAATTTTTTTTGTCAGATTAGCCTCCTAACTCAGATGCCTAAATTAGATCAAATGAATGTGCTTATCCTTTTAATTACTATCCTGAGAGAATTGCATTTACTTTTTTCTCCTCTATCTGTACAAGATCTGGGGTATGGGATGTGTCCCTGGCTGAATTGTAGCTGTCACTGTAATAGAAACAAGGAGTATATTCCTGTAGCAGTAACAATATAACAAAAACTGGGTACATATGGCTTGTTTGTGCTAATCATAAAAGTAATAGGGTTATCTACTGTAGGTGCGGGTCAAAACAACAAAGCTTTATAGTTGTTTATTATTTTAACCATTCTTCTTGTAAGCAGAAAAATGCCTTGTCACATCAAGGCAGAAGTGACCCATGGGATGATTTTAAAATGTGTTGATGAGAAGGCTTTATTTGTTGAGATTCAGGTATTACAGTGACTTTGACTACAGCAGTTCTTACAGCAGGGGTTTTTGCAAATATTTCTGTTGTATAATGTTGAAAATTGAATTAATTTCATGCCATAGGAAAGAAGCAGCTATGAAAAATGAAGCTAAGTTCTGTAGGTGACAGTATTTCTTCATTGAGCTGCTTCTCAGGAGCTGGTGAGGAAAATGGGGCAGCATTTGGAAAGTGAAAGGTGATGCTTTGCTTGAGGCATTATCAAAAACCTTCACCCTCCTTGAAAACAGGTGGCTGTCAGGAAAAGACCTTGGGATGAGTTCCTGAAGAGCAGTGCAGTCCAGAGCACTAGTTCTTCTTCCGAATTGAGACAGAGGTCTCTGGTCTGTTTGGTTAACAGTTTACAAGTAAATTATCTGCTGTTACCTCAAAAGACTCAGTATGTAAAATTTGTGAAAACAGCTTTTCATGAGTTTTTTCTTTTAAAGGCCAGAGCTGTTCTCTTTGCCTTTTGAAAACTAGTTCAGAAGTTGGATTGGACATCTTTATTTCTAATGTTAATTTCTGGCCTCTTTTCACTTGAAAGGAAAGATCTCTGACATCTCAGTTTTTAAAATAGCTTTTAACTGCTTCCATTTGTTTTTATTAACCTGAAATGTAGTTACAGAATAATATTTTTTTGAAGAGACTTCTGGAGATCACCTGGTCCAATTCTTGTGAGAAGCATGGCCAACTCAGATTATGTCCCTCAGAGCCGTGTCTGGTTGTGTTTGGATTATTTCCAAGGGTGGAGATCCCACCAACTCACTGGACAACCCTCCCCAGTTTAGTGTCCATGCTTGCTCAGACTGCATCCCATCCCATTGCCCAGACTGCCAGTGAAGACCTTAAACAGTACTGGCCATGGTATCAGTTCCTGGGGAACATCAATAGTTCCAAACAGATGGATTTTGGAATACTGATGACAGCTCTTTGAGTCTGGTGATCAGGCAAGTTTTCCACTCAGATTTCAGTGAACCTTTTCAAACTATATTCCACCAGTCTGGCTCTAAGGATACTGTGAGAGACCTTATTAAAAGCCTTCATAGAGTCAAAACAAGCTGCTGTGCCCTCATTCACAGAGCCAGTCATCTCAACACAGAAAGCCATGAGATATTGGATGTGGTTCGTCCTGGATGGACAGTGGCAGTTTCCCATCACCTTTTTGTTCTTCAGGCATCTGCAGGTGACTCACGAGGGGATTTGCTCCATTGTCTTTCCAGGGACTGAAGTAAGATTTAGCAGCTTTCTGTATTGGTGTTCTGGCCCTTCGAGAAGATGAGTCCCATCATCAAGATCCTCGATCAGTCACCAGGGCCTCCCATAAATCACAGAGCTTGGTCTTGCAGTGACATTACCCAGTGTTCCTGGCAGCACTGGGCCTGTGATTTGTTCCATATATATGTATGCAACTGCTCTACTTCCTCGTTTTCAAGTTATTTTGACTTCCAAAAGCTGTCTTCAGTTCATTGTAATGCCACATCTTTTGGCAAAGGATAATAGATAATGGATCCTGCCATGTTTTTAAGTTTTGGGGGGGAAGCTTGGTTTAGACACTGTGAAAACACTGTTTTAGTCCTGTGAAAGTTGTGGGAGCAATAGTTTGCTGACTAGTGTTGATTTTAGGTTGGAGGGGTCATGTCATGTGGGAAAGTTAGTGACCTTTTTTGAGCTTTTTTGTCTTAGGTGATGATTGGTGATTTTTAAGATAACAAAGATAAAGTCGAGCTAATTAGAGAGTTCTCTTTTTTTACGACTGACCTGTTTCAAGAACTATCGCATATCAGTAAAACACTTAACACAAAGTGTACTTTGAGGTTCAGAGGTTGATCCCAGGTATGGGGTGATATAAGGTAGTTACTGTATTCCTTTTACCTTTAAAAACGTATTATGACCTTTAATTTCACCTTTTAAAATTGCATTTTCCTTTTGTACATTCGTTGGTGATAGATGACATAACAGTCTATTTTGCGGGGAAGCACTCGTGTTAGAGTGCTTAGTTGGATTTTTGGAAGTGCTAAGCAGCTGTTTTAAGTGATCCTGAAATTTTCAAGTGCTTGGTTGCAAATATTGCAGGTACCTGATTACCTCTGGAAATGGTGTTTTTGAATCCTGATCGATATAGAACTGGGAGGCTTATATTGTGTGTGAGTTCAAGTTCCTTCCAGTGACAGACCAGTGTAAGCCAAAATTTTAAGCCAGCTGTGAGCAGTGAAGCCTTGTTTTCTGTGGCTGTTTGAGTTTAATGAGCTGTGAGCTTATGTTGAGTTTTTTCACGCTGTTGGTATATTTAGAGCAGCTTTTGGCGTGCGGATTCTGTGGTGTCTAATATTGGTACTCAAACACACAGAAGTCTTTCTCTTCATTGAGGGTTGTGCTTTCTCCGGTTGCCTGTTTTCATGAATCTTGTAGTAGGCACTTAAGATCTTTGCAAAGTACACCCCTCAGTTGAGCTTAATTCACATTGGATGATGGGATTCATCAAAGTACATGTTAACTACTCATCTCTTCTACCCTTAGAATGCCAGGCTAAGAATTTGAGCATCCTGGTTGCTTGGTTCCTATAATGTAACTGCTTTCATTAACTCATTTGTCTTACTTGTCTTATCAGAATGGTTGTGGGGTTTGTTGTTTCTGTTTTTTTTTTTTTTTTATTCTCAGGTTTATTTAAGGATAAGCCTCTAGAAAATAAGATAAGGGATTTTATTTTGTCAGTTCTTCTTACTTCCACACATACTTTGTTGTATTGCCCATTGCAAGATGGTACAGAGACTGTAGTAACTTGTTTTTCTGGTATTGTTGTGATGTTAGCACCAAATGTTATAAAGGTGAGGATTAGGTCACATAAAAATTATAAAGTAAAAATGGAGCTGATGAAATGTCATTTTTCTTTAAATTGGGAATATTTAGAACTTTGTCAGTATAGGAAAGCAGCCTGGCCAGCTTGGTTACTTGGATCCTGGAGTTAGAATAATGGATTGAACATTAATATATAGATGAGCACAGTGTTGTGTAACTCTTATTTTCAGAACAACACATGAAATTCAAATGATGTAACGTGATGACAGTAGCAGGACAAAGTGTTGGAATTACCTTATAGAGCACAAGTACCTGAGAACTATTTTTAAATATTTTGGCAGTTACAGATAGTTGAAAAGGCATGGTTGATCCAGAAAAGTCACAGCTTCTTCGGAATAGCAATTCTGAGAACAGCCAGTTTGACTTAAGAAATT